TATACATCTTTATTCTTGCACTGGTTCACTAATAATACAATTCACAGACATAGAAAACTAAGAACCACATCTGTGACTATTTCTAACTTTTGCTGAAAGCTCCTCTCTTACAGAGGAAATAACTCATTTTTTAAAAATTTGAGTCTTACTCTGTCACCCTGGCTGGAGTGCAGTGGCACGCTCATGGCCACTGCAGCCTTGGCCTGTGATCCTTCCGCCTCAGCTTTTCAAGTAGCTGGAATTACAGGCATGTGCTACCATGCCCAGCTAATTTTTTTGATTTATTGTAGAGACAAGATCTCGCCAAGTTGCCCAGGCTGGTCTTGAACACCTGGACTCAGGCAATCCTCCTACCTCCACCTCCCAAAGTGCTGGAATTACAGGTGTGAGCCACCACATCCAGCTTAGTTTCTTTTTTCTCATAAACCACTACATTATAGAGTTTAATGGAAATATTCTATTCATATGTCTCAGGACACTTATGATTGGTCTGTACTTGACATACTTTTCTTTCTTGACTTATTCATTACTTATTTCTTTATTCATTGATTCACTAATAATAATACAATGAAGTCTCATTAATCAAAAAACCAAAGAGCAGCATTCTTGAACATTACTACAAGTTGTCTATATGTCCGTTGTCCACAGAGCTAATAGGTAAGGTTGCTTTTTGCAATATATGTGCTTTTTCACATATAAATTAGTAAACATCCTTGCTTCATATCAGCTCTATGCTGGCCATTGGTCCAAGTTTGGACCTTTTTAATTTAAATATGGTGCAATGTTGTTCACAGCCACAAGAACACAGACCCAACCATGCTGCCCATCAAAAGAGGACTGGATTTTTAAATGTGCTACCTATACAAAATGGAATATTACCCGGCCATTAAAAAGAACAAAATCATGAATTCCATAGCAACCTGGATGGACTTGGAGTCTATAACACTGAGTGATCTTTCACAGAAACAAAGAACTGAGTGTCACGTGTTCTACTCATAAGTGGACCTTGAACAATTATCATAATACTGTAAGAGAATGATTGGCAGTAGTGGGAAACTGCTGGGAGGAGGGTGGGGAAGAGGGATTGGCAGTAATGGGAATCTGCCTGGGGAAGGGGGACACACCTCATTAACAAGGGTACCTGCATAATAACCATTTGTATACCTAACCCTGAATTGTACCCCACATCTTTAAAATAAAAAAAAAATTAAAAGGAAAAATAATAATAAAGATGGTGCAATAAATAACTATCGCTGAAGTTGATTGTGGAGTTAGAATTAAGGAAACGCTGTCTTACTCCACAACTAGACCACTGACAATACTGTCCATCTTCTTATATGCTCTGCCCTCAAGGAATTGGTAGCCTAAACTTTTATCAATGAAGAGATACTTTAACGAATCACAAAACAAAATGCAAAGTACCCCTGAACATGAATAAAACACCTGCATCTTTTTACTGGATTTTACTGAATGATAAATCCCAGTGCTGAGCACATTCTCATCACTGGTTCATGCTGGTGTCATCTGATGTTATTTATTAATATACCCATTTATTACTTTAAAAATTCAGGCAATGCCTATAAACCAAACTCCCAACCCAAGAACAATAAACCTTAACTGTTACGTTAATCTCTTCCCTCCTTACCCATAGAAGTTAAAAGTGAAGATCTTTAGTGTTAGAGAATGATTCAATCAGTTGTGATGTGCTCACTTGAAGTGAAATACACACTTTCAAAAGAAAGACCCTATAATTAAGATATCTTTAATGGCAGGTTATCTTGCAGTATTAATAATAAACTTGGACTATCTCATAATCTCATCAATGCTCTAAAATAGCACACCTTATTTATTGATTTCTGTAGTTTTTACTTTTAAACAATATGATGAATATCAGTACAAGAATAAGAGCCACATCTCTTACGTAAATATCTGTCTACATAGTCCCTGTCCATAAATTTACCAGCTAGGTGATTGCTTTTAGTGGACTTCTTTTATGCAAAATCTTTGTTTTATGACATCTCCTTGTCAATGATGCACAAATATTTCTGATTTACATGACTAATGATTCATTTATTTATTCATGTATATAATTAAGCATAAAATAAATTACCTATTTTCTCAAGCATTGCTCCCTGAAAATGTCAATGCATTTAACCCAAAGGAGAAGGCAACTAGGACCTTATTTATTTATATGGACAACATCTGAGTATAACAAGAGTAACATTATATTTGGTTCATAACACATGTTCTTCATTGGCTTATGCTTGGTTATCTCTCAAACAATTGGTCTAGACATAAATGATCGAGGTAGAGAGCATATATAATTGTTCTATATATAAATGGCCTCCTTCATTCCCTTTTAACAACATACCAAAAGCAATTAAAACCAAGATATGCCGGGCTCGGTGGCTCAGCCTGTAATCCCGCGCCTTTGGGAGGCTGAGGTGAGTGGATTGCCTGAGCCCGCGGGTTCGAGACCCGCCTGGGCAGCGAGACCTCATCTCTACAATAAATCAAAATGAGCCGGGCGTGGTAGCGCGCGCCTGTAATTCCGGCTACTTGGAAGGCTGAGGCGGAAGGATCGCCGGAGCCTAGCAGGCGAGGCTGCGGTGGCCGGGAGCGGCCACTGCACTCCAGTCTGGGCGACGAAGTGAGACTCCAACTCAAAAAAAAAACAAAAAACCAAGATATAAGACAAGCACATTGAATACCTGTCCACAGTCCCATAGCCATAACCAACAAAATCCTATTCTGATTTAAAAAAAATACTAAAACTCAGTTAACAGTGTTAGATTCACCATAACCTTGATCATATGAAACATTCTCAAAATTGGTTCATGTTCAGCCCCCCTCAGTAAGGAGAAGTAAGCCCATCCACAACCCAGAGCTGGAATACTCTTATCACATGACCTGTCTCTCTGAACCCGACCCCAAAGTAGAAGAGCCTGGATCCCATTTCTTCAAGTGGACATCCGTAAGGTAGATCAGAGTTAGTCATTAGCTTTAGTCCAAATCACACGTGTCACACTGGCCACAGTTGGCCCTCTTTATCACTGGAGTTAGGATCATATTCATCTAACTACTTAAAACAATAAATAAGTACCATAAAACTCTGTACTTGAACACTAACCAGACCAAAAAAAATGCCCACAAGCTCATAACCCACAAAACTGACTATATCCCTTGTCATTTTTTGCTGTTGTTTTTAATCATAGTGTCATATAACACATCCTCAACATTGGCACACGCTTACTGCTTTTCAATTAAATAGCCATGTAATCATTTGTTTACATCTTTCTCGTCTTTAAAAACCCAACAAGAAGCAAGTTCTTACCAATCTAGAATGCCAACATAGACAATTCGATAGGTCTATGTGTCTATATGTCAAGATCTCCCTCTGTGTGCTTCAAAGCACAGATTTTACATATATATAATACATAAATGGATTATACTGAAATTCAGTATTAAACAAATATATTACTAATAATGTCTGTTTCACGTCACACTCTCATAAACAACCCACACATGACAATCCTTATCTTCACTTACACTTTACTTATTCTAGCACATTCAATTCACTTGCATAAATACACTTCCTCCTCAGGAACCATGAAAGCCCAAGAACCAGATCCAAAGATGGCCCAAGCTTCTACTCTGGAGTCCATTTGCTTCAGGGGAGTCACCGAGGTGCTTGCTAATGAACTTCAGGGTTTAGAGCTTAATAATCAAAATTATTGATTGATATACTCCAGAACTTCTCATCCCTGATCCAAGTTTGACACTTGTTCTTCATGTATTTATTTATACACTGTTTATTGACGATGCATTATTTATTGATTGTCTCATTCATGGTTTCACCAATAAAATAAATTAGCACCCATGAATCACAAAAAGCCAAGAACAAAATCTTTGACAATTGCGGAAAGCTATTTACAGGCTCATCTCCACAGAGCAGGTCGACAAGATCTCTTTTTAATTGGATCTCAGTATTGCACCTATATATTAATCAATAATCTGTTTCCTACCCGCCCTGCGTGTTTTACTGCTCTCTCTGCTTGCTCATCTTTCATTTAATTTCCTTGTAATTTACAGAGAGTACAATAAACAGCTTGCCATCTTCCTCCACAACTAGAATGCTGGCAATTCTTTCCATAAAACTCTTTCCTCGACTATGTAATCAATAAGAGCTATTTCCTTAAAATGGGTGCCCAAAAATGGAATGAAATACTAAGCAACTGTGAAAATGAATGCAACACCCTCCAACTTTGCTTTAACAAACCTCAACTGTACTAAAATTAATTCATCTTAATCCACAGTTTACTGCACAATACCGGTCCACGCATGGCATTTTAAAATTTCTTTTGGTTTGTTTTGATTTTTCATCTTTTGTTTTGGTTGTTTCATTTTAAAGATGTGGGGCACGATTCAGATTTCGGTATACAAGTGGTCATCATACGGGCATAGTCTGGGCCTTTCTTTGGTCCCCAATTCACATGGTTTGAGATCAGGTACCCTTATTGATGCTATGTGCCCTCCCAGCCCCTCCGGCAGTGTCCTGCAATTGTCAATCCCTTTCTTATTGTATCATGGCAAATGTTCAGGGTCCATTTATGAGTGAGAACATGCGGTACTCAGTTCGCTGCTTCTGCAATACATCACTGAGTATGATAGACTCTAAATCCATCCAAGTGGCTACAAAATGTGATACACATACACACTGTTTTATTTTTAAATTGACAAGTAAAATTGTATTTATCATGTACAACATGATGTTTTGAGGTGGATGTACATTGTAGAATGACCGTATCTAGCTAAACAGCATACCCATTACCTCAAATGAGTATCATTTTTGTAGTGAGAACACAACATCCACTCTCTTAGCATTTGAAAGTTCTATTTATGTTTGTGGTGGTCACTCATTCCTTTGGAATAATTCCATGGACCACATGAATAACCCCCTTCAAACCAAGAACACAAGTTCTGTTACCTAGAGTCCCTTTGATCCTTATCCACAAATGTGACAGACAAGATCTTCATCGCTGAATAATGAATAAGTCAGGTTTGATATATTGAATCTGTAGAGTAAAAAAAAAATTCTAGAGAATTCCAGAAAGAGGGAAGACTTACTTTTTTTTTTTTAAGGGACCTTGGTCCTGCTGTATCAGATTCATCAAAAACCTCCAGTTTTTACCACATTCCCAGTTAGTCCAAGAATGGCCCTGGTTTTATTAACTACTTTAATTACTAATTTATGTACTAGAATGAAAACTGCTAACACAAGAACTATGCATACTCCAAATTCTGTCACTTAAGCTCCACTCACATAAGTAGGAATTCAGATGATCTTTTTTTTTGTCTTCCTTGATTAGAATTGGGTAAATGTATGTTCTTGTTTCTTAATGTCATTCTCACCAATGGTCCATGTTTAATCCTACTTGATGAATCTACTAATTTATTCGTTCCTTTTTTCCTTTTTATTTGTTTATTTTTATTTACTCATAGAATTTTATCTGTTCTAAAAAATGAAAATATTAGGCCAGGCTCGGTGGGCCAGCCTGTAATCCCAGCACTTTGGGAGGCCAAGGCGAGTAGATTGCCTGAACCCGCGGGTTTGAGACCACCCGGACAACTTGGCCAGACCTCGTCTCTACAATAAATCAAAGATTAGCCAGGCATGGTAGCGTGCGCCTGTAGTTCCGGCTACTTGGAAGGCTAAGGCAGAAGGATTCCCAGCAAGTCGAGGCTAGGTGGGAGCATGCCACTACGTTCCAGTCTGGGCGACAGAGTGAGACTCCAACTCAAAAATAATAATAATAAAATAAAAATGAAATATTAAACAACTGTAAACTGCATGAAGCATCTTTTTCCATCTTTTTTTTAAATAGTCTCCACTATGCAGAACTGAAGTAATCTTAAATGTTGTTTCATGGCACATTTTTCCCAATGCTCAATTTTTCTATACATTTTATTTTATTTTTAATTGACAAATCATTCTTGACCCTCTTTATATATCTGTTTTCTTACTTACTATTTAATTGAATTATTCATTGATTAATTTACACCTACATCTATTTTTTATATGATCATTAACCAGGAAAAATCGACCAGCACCCAAACTTAAAAACTAGAACATGAATCTTCCTGTGACCATTAAGCAGTTCTTTTTTTTTTTTTTGAGTTGGAGTCTCACTCTGTCGCCCAGACTGGAGTGCAGTGGCTGCTCCCAGCCACCGCAGTCTCGACCTGCTGGGCTCTGGCAATCCTTCTGCCTCAGTCTTCCCAGTAGCCGGAATTACAGGCGTGCACTACCACATCCGGCTGATTTTTTGATTTATTGTAGAGATGAGGTCTCGCTGCCCAGGCGGGTCTCGAACTCGTGGGCTCAGGCAATCCGCTCACCTCAGCTTCCCAAAGGCACAAGATTACAGGCTGAGCCACCAAGCCCGGCTAAGCAGTTCTTTTATATGAACATCAACAATCTAGAAATTACTTTATTCTAATACTTGCCTTATAATTTATGTCCATCACTGGTCTATCATTTGCACTCTTTTAAACTAATTGTGACATAAACTTCCTCATTCATTTCCTATAATTCCTAGCTGTGAATTCAAAGAAACGAGTCAAAAATAGAATAAAACTAACATCTATCAATCTTCCCATTACCCACAGAGATAATCAACTAAATTTTTCTTGTTGTGGTTGTAAAATGAAGCCAATGAATAGATCTGGATTAATTGTGATTCTTATGGGACACATTCTTAGCATTGGTTCACTTCCATTTTCTTATTTAAGTAAAAATCTTTCCTCTTGTAGAAACAAGAGTAACTATCCCTGCCTGTGCATGTGTGTTTGTGTGTGTGCCTTATTGGCTTCAGTGCCTCAAAAAAGCTATTAATAATTCATTAGTCCCTGATTGGCCCTATTTTTTTATTCATGTACACATCTGTTGAATACGTTTGCTTAGTGCATTTATTCAGTTTGCTTAACAATTTATTCATTGATTCCCTGGCACAATGTTTACATAATCAATACCCATAATCCGTAAGAGTCTAAGATCAAGGCCCTGCAGCTACCAGCTCATCTGCCACAAAAATAAGAGACTAGATAGGCCTTACAGTGGATTTCAGTGGTGCCTCTATGGATTAATCAATACTCATCCTCATTCAGTATTTTTCATGTATTACCCTCTTCTATATAGTCAGTTACTTAATCAAGTATTTGTTCATGTTAGTGCTTTTCTTTAAAAGACAAAACAAGCTGGGTACAGTGGTTCACACCTGTAATTCCAGCACCTTGGGAGGTGGAAGCAAAAGGACTGCCTGAGTCCAGGGGTTCGAGACCAGCCTGGGCAACTTTGCAAGACCTCGTCTCTATCATAAATTAAAAATATTAGCCGGGTGTGTGGTACACACCTGTAATTCCAGCTACTTGGAAGGTTGAGCCCAGTGGGCCGAGGCTGCAGTGGCCATGAGTATACCACTGCACTCCAGCCTGGGTGACAGAGTGAGATTGATGCAAAACAAACAAACAAACAAAATAGGTGAAGACTGCAGGACACCGCCAACCCAATACAACAGTGTTGACAACTATGTGATCAGTTCACATGTTGTTTACCTAAATGAACTAACCATCCTTACCTAAAAGAATTAACCACTGAACTGCAGCTATTATTTTTACAGATTCCAGTACTTAAATCAAAGATATTTAAAATAATTCTTGTTTCAAGGAAAGAAACTATAGGCCAATTTCCCTGATGAACATAGATGCAAAAATTATCAACAAGATTCTAGAAACTTGTGTCAACAGCACATCTCAAGGATCACCCATCACAACAAGGTGGGCTTCATTCCCAGGATGCAAGGTTGGTTCAACATACATAAATCTATAAATATAATCCATTCCAGAAACAGGAGTGAAACCAAGAACCTCATGATTATCTCATTAGATGTAGTGAAAGCATTCTAGAAAATACAACATCCTTTCTTGATAAAAACCCTGGAACACCTAGGTATCAAAGAAACATTCCTCAAAACAATAAGAGCCATCTATGACAAACCTGCAGCCAACATCTTACTTAATGAGCTGAAGCTGGAAGCATTCCCCCTAAGAACTGGAACAAGATAAAAATGCCCACTCTCACCCCTTCTATTAAACATAGTACTAAAGTCCTAGATACAGCAAGCAGACAGGAGAAAGAAATTAGGAATATCCAACCAAAAAAGAGGAAGTTTGCAGATGATATGATTTTATAACTAGAAAACCCTAGTCTGTCAAAAATCTCCTTGCACTGATAAATGACATCAGTAAAGTCTTGGGATACAAAATTAATGTGCAAAAAACAGTTGCATTTCTCTATACCAACAATAAGCAGGCTGAGAACCAAATAAAAAGACAATCCCATTCAAAATAGCCACCACAAAACTAGATAAAATACCTCAGCATCCACCAACCAAAGAGAGGAAAGATCTTTACAACAAAAACTACAAAACACTGCTCAAAGAAATCAAGGAAGACACAAACAAATGGTAAAACATCCCATGAGCAAGGATTGGAAGAATCAATATTGCAAGATGTCCATTCTACCAAGGCAATACACAGATTCAACACAATTTCTGTCAAATTGCTAGCAACATTTTTCACAGGCCTAGGAGAGACAATACAGAAATTCATATGAAAACTAAAAAGAGCCAAAATAGATAGAGCAATTCTCAGCAAAAGATGAAAGCTAGAGGCATCACGTTTTCAGCCTTCAAACTTCACTACAAGGCTACAGTAACTAAGACAGCATGGTACTAGACACATAGACCAATGGAACAGGATAGAAAATCTTGGAATAAAACTATGAACCTTCAACCACCTTATCTTTGACAAAGTTAACAAAAACAAACATTAGGGAAAGGAAACCATATTTGGCAAATGGCGATTGGAAAACTGCCAGAATAATGAAACTGGACCCCTATCAATCATCACATACAAAAGTTAACTTAAAATGGGTTAAGAACTTAAATGAAAAACCTCAAACTATAAGAATCTTAGGAGAAAATGCAAGGAACACCCTCCTGGGTATCAGAGTAGGCAATGAATTCATGAACATGTCCTCACAAGCAAATGCAGCAAAAGCTAAGAGTGACAGGTGGGACCTAATCAAATTAAAATGTTTTTGTACAGCAAAAGAAACCATCAAGAGAGTAAAGAGACAAACCTCAGGATGGGAAAAAAGAATTTTCAAATTATGCATCCAACAAAGGCCTAACATCCAGGATCTACAAGGAACTCAAATGAATTGACGAGGAAAAAAAACACCCCATTAAAAAGTGGGCAAAGGACATGAACAGACACTTATCAAAGGAAGACATTCAAGCAGCCAACAAACATGAAAAAATGTCCAGCCAAATGCAAATCAAAACAACAATGAGATACCACTTAACACCAGTAAGGATGGCTATCATTAAAAAGTCAAAAAACAACAGGTGCTGGCAAGGCTGCAGAGAAAAAGGAAACTTCCATACTATTGGTAGCAATGCAAGCTAGTTCAACCATTGTGGAAAGCAGTGTGGCATTTTCTCAAAGCACCAAATATTGAGCTACCATGTGACCCAGCGATCCCACTTCTGGAAATATACTGAGAGGAACATAAATTGCTCTATCAAAACCTGCACAGGTATGTTCGCTGCAGTGCTATTCACAGTAGCAAAAACATGGACTCAACCCAGATGTCCACCGAAAGTGCAATGGATAAAGACAATGCGGTACATATATACAATGGAATACTATGCAGGCATAAAGAAGAATAAATCAAGTCCTTTGCGGCAACAAGCATGCAGCTGGAAAGCATCATTCTAGGCAAACTATCACAGGAAAAAAAAACCGAATACCACCTGCGCTCACTCAGAAGCGAGCCCTGATCACCGGACTCATAAGCACAAAGGTAAGAACAATAGACACTGAAGGCTGCTAAAGGAAGAAGGTGGGGAGGAGATACCGAGTCTACCGCCAGGAGGAGAGAGGACTCATGAGAAACCCAAACCTCACTGGCACGCAATTTACTTATGCGGTAAATTCTCACATGTACCCC